GGCGGCGGAAGGAGGGGAGGCGCCTCTGGAGGTGGTGGGTGCCTTGGGCGGCTGCGTTCTTCAGCTAGACCCGTGTTCTTCAGCATGGCTCCCTTGGGGAGAGCCCTGATGCTTTTGGGGACATACACGTTACATTGGTGAAGTATGTGTACGTTGGGAAGCCCAGCAGCACCAAGGACCCAAAATTCAAGGTGCTGATCGCCTTGTGCAGAGCCTTGGGCATCCTAAGCTCCATCCGTGGGAGAGGAGAGCGCCAATAGCAAGGAGAGACCCCTGCAAATTTTATATTATCCCTGCTCTGCCCGTAATTGTGGTCTGCAGGCTGATTGACTCTTATCTTGGTGCTTTAAAGTCTGTTTTTTTGCGGGTGGGAAAAGCAATTAACACGCGTATTCCCAGCTCAGGCCCCGAAACTGTGCATGAGATTTTTCCACGCACATCCAACATGCTCAACAGGGAAAGCAGGGGGAAGAACAAGGCCAAACCTTTCACAATGGTCTATTGCTGATTGGATTTTTCTTCTTGTCTTCCCCCCTTGCCCTCAGTTGCTTATTTCCACAAGGTTGCTTTCAGAAAGTTTCTGCCCAAACTAAGACGTGGTGAAGAGAATAATGGATTCTGGCACATGGTTTACTTGACCGTATGCTAACAAAGGCAGGTTGTGGAAAACCCTTAATTTTCAACCTATTCTTAGCGCAGAAAGTGGAGGCAATTGCCTGAGGCTGGAGGGCTCTGGTTTGCAAAGGAGACTCCCTATTAATTCTGTGCTCTGTTGCCCGTGGGACGCCATTTACATTTGTGTATCGAATTCTGACTCTCTCCTGGATTCAGTGAGGTCAGTCTGGTCAAATGTAGATCAAGTATGAGGGGACTGGAAAGAAATGAGCGGTGAGAGTAGGGAAGGAGTATTTTTCCAGATCTTTCTGAGCCTTCCTGCCTGTCCTTGGGCAGATCCCGTTGTGTTTCTCCAAGCTCCGTAGTCTCCAGCTAGTGAAATGGGGAAAGTCACTACCCTCATGGGTCTGTTGTGCCTGAAAGCCCCCGAGAACCACAGTCATGGGAGATGAGGACACGAAGGTGCCTCAGACGTGTCCTCCTGAGCTACCAGGAGGTCTGAGGTGCTGAAATGAAGCCGGTGAGCCTGGGTCCCCGTGGGGAAGGGGCCTGAGCGCAGCAGCTTTCCCCGTTGCAGGTGTCGCGACGTTCCGGTGCCTGGCACCCGATGGCGTCTGGGACCCCCAAGGACCGGACCTCAGCAACTGCTCTTCTCCCTGGATCAACCACATCACGCAGAAGGTAAAGCCCTTCCCAGCCTTTGCCTCCGTCCCTGGTGGCTCCCCAAAGCACCCAGTAGTCACGGTGGCTCTGCCGGCTCCTCGGTGTGACCCGCGGGGAGGCGTGAGGAGAAAGCAAGGCTGCAAACATTGCAGAAAGCGGAGCAAGGAGAGCGGGGGAAAGGGCTGGTGAGCGGAATTAGACCAAAAGGAACGGCATTTCTTGTCTGTGGCAGGAAGAGGAAGAAGAGGGAGGAGGAGGTGAGCAGATGATACGGAAAACGCTGACTTATTGCAGAAGGAAACATGCTTTTTCGCACATCCCGGGGGAGGCACAAGATAGACCCTGTAGTTGAGAAGTCTTTGCCTGGGACAGGCAGGCTGTGTGTGACGTGCCTGGATGGTGCTACTGCCGCTCCGGGTTAAACTTCTTCCCAAGCTGTAAAAGGGCTGACGGAATAGAAAGCAATGCTGCAGCAATGCGTATCTTTTGGCTTTTAGGTCCCTTGATGAATGTTGTGTAGCTCTCCATGATCTATCAGTGCGAGGAGTGCATTAACATGTGAAAGTGGCGGGTGGCGCGCACCACACTGTCGTAAGCTTTTTTTTCTTTTGCTGTTAATGCGCGGCGATGCCTCCGCTTCATGCCAAAGGGAGACCAATCGTGTGTCTGCCCCACAGCCTCTGCGGGCTGGATCCTCCTTAGAGCAGTTTGTGGGGGATCCGATCCCTCCTGGAACCACAGCAGGAGAGCCCCGTGGCACTCGCAGGCTGTGCCGCAGGGTAGGAGAAACGCTACATTCCCGGTGAGCTGAGCGACGAGATGGGAAGAGACTTCAGACTTTTCCTTTTTTCTCCTCCCCATCACCCACATCAGCTTGGGAATTGCCAACAGGTGCTCTCCCTACCCCCCCACCCCCCCAAGTGTATTTATACCCATCCCTTCCCCAGAACAGGGGGAAAGATGTTGATGAGCTTGGGGCTAATAGTGGACAGCTGGTACCAGGCTGGTGCCTGTCTCGTCCCTGCCCAACCAGGACTGAGCTACATTTTTTTTTTTAAATATATACATACATGTATATATTGAAATATGTTTTTTGGAAGAATTCAGCTATGTTCAGCTTTTGGACCTTCCACCGCTCAGTGGGAGAAGCTGCCACACGGCTCTGGATCCAGCCTTTTGGTGCCCGAGCGGAGATCTGCTGTGTGGCCCAAACACTATGAGGAGAAGCTCCAAACGGCCAAGCCTTTCCAGGAGTGACTTTGGAGAGGAAAAACCTGCCGGGGTTAACGGGGGTCTTGCGTTGGGGTTTGCATTCACTGGGGCCCTTGTTGCAAGCACTGCTGTTAAATCACTTGTGAAGTTTGCAGTCCGCGCGGTGACATGCAAAGCTGTTAGGGCACCTGCATGCTTGCTTCCATGTTTCTGCAGTGAGGTAAGGATTACAGCTCGCTTCTTTTCTTCCTCCTGCTGAGCTTTGGCTGTGCACTGGGTGTTTGCCCACTTGCATCACGGTATGAGGTTTTACAACCCTCTATTAGCTTCCATTAGAGTTATCGTGCTTGATGGAGGATCAGAGCAAATGCCCGCTTCAGCAATTCATTGGCCTCCTGACATTTACTTTAACTTTATTGTTGGTGCCTGCCGTGCCCTCATAACGTAGCAGGAGGATAAACTTGCCAGTGCTATTGAATTATGCACTGCTCCGTGGGTTATTTCTAGAGTCAGGCAGTAAAGGGAAGCTGAAAGGTCATCTCTGGATACATTGCCCCGGCCCTCCGTTCAGCCTGTTTGCTTTACCTCTTGCTTTCATCAGTACCAGCGTTGGTGCAGCGGGCGGTTTGCCCAAAAAAGTCTTTTCCTCACTGTGGCTTTTGGTTTTAGGGCCCAAGAGGGTTTTTTGGGGCATCACAGTGTGCCCTCCAAGGTGGTCGGGAGGAATTGAGTCTTCTCCCCAGAATGTGCTAGCAAGCTCTGCCAATGAGGATGACAGATGTGGCTGTCTCGTATGTATGCACACGTATAAGGAAACCTCTGCTGGGGAAAGAAAATGCTTGTGGAGGCTTCGCAGGCTCCGAATGGGGCAAAGCCCCTGTTTGCAACGCGGCTGCTGGCAGCTGCTGGGTCCCAACAAGCCTGTTCTGTGTCTGCCCCTTCGAAGGACGGCAGCGACCCCAAGGCCTTCCAAGCTGACCAGCCCAGCTCGTGCCAGCAGCTTTGAAAACCCCAGTTCAACCTTCCATACTGTCTTCTCGATGGATCCGTTGGACCTCTCAGGTAGATAGAGATATCAAAACCAGCCTCAGGCTGCAGGAAAGCCTGTTTGCCTTTCCGGCCACTGGTGTTTCAGCACATACCCTCCCTTCCCCGGCAGCTCGCTCTTATTCCCTCTAAATTTTCTTCCCAAAATATCTGCTGCTCTGCTTTGCTCTCATTTTGTATTCTGCTGCCCTCTTCTGCAGCCGCTTCCCTTTGAAAAAGATGGGGAAGAAACAGGGAATGGTGCTGCCAGGGAGAATTGCTGTTAGCTTTTCCAGGCAAAACTCCCAATTTCCCTTCCATAAAGTCTATGGAAAAAAAAAAAGGCAGGAATATTTACCCTGTCCAGCAGCAATTGTTTTACAGTCTTTTTAGATGTAAGAAGACAAAAGACAGTGCTGCAACCAGGAAAGCATTAGCAAATTGTTGCACAATGCGGTTTCAGGCAGAGCAATGGTAATTTGTAAATCTGGCCTGAATCCTGCCGGGATCCAGAAATGAAGCAGGGGAGCATTTTTTTGAGTGAGCAAGAGGGCTCCCTGCTGCGTCTTGGTATTTTTTGGCAGGAAGCATTTTTGTCCCCTTAGAACTAGCATTGCAAGGCCAAATTTGAGCAATTTGTAGAAGGGTAAAAGTCACCCAGCACCACGAGCAATCCAGTTTGGTTTGAGCAGAAAACAGTGTATTTTTATCTCAGAATCCCTTCATTTTTTTCCCGCAATGAGGAAAGAAAACAACATCAACAATAAAAAAAGACTGAGTCTCACGTCAAAAAGAGGTCTGTTATTTTTTGGCATCTTTTGGGGAGACAGCAGAGAGGTTTAGAAATTCTGGTCCAAGAGCGAGGACTGAGCAGGGAGCAGCCAGTGCAGATTTGCAGCCTGGTAGGAGCGTTAAGCTTGAGCGTAGCAAGGAGGAAATCATTCAGTTTTGGAATATAAGTTATTGCTCTAATGGGAAAAACACCACATTATCGGTTTCAGTTATCTTATCTGTACCATCATGTGTTTGAATCCTCTGAAGACGAGCATATGAATATCTTCACTTAGGTTTCATTAAATCAGATGGGCTGTTGCTGTCAAATTGATGGAAGCAAGTTGTTCGTTTATAACTCAGCTAATTGATTTACTGAGAGGTGGAAGCTCTGCCTGCTATCTTTCCCCATCATCTCGCTTTAATAATAAGCACCCGAAATTGAGGGAAAAAGAGAAATATCTGCTTTCCAACTGGAGCCAGATAAGATGGTTGGAAATTTCACGTGAAGAACCCAGCAGCGTTGAGCATTTAGCCTGATGGAGAAGCGGTAGCTTAATTTATATGCAATCCTCTGTAATTTCTCCTGATCCCTGGACCGTTCCCCTGGGATATGCATTTCCATATTACAAAGGCATGTATAATGGGAAATAAGATCAGCATCTCGAAAGGGCGTTTCCGCAGCGGGCTGTTTCGTGCTGTCAAGTGGCCTCCAAGTCTCAACGGCGTGTGGGAGGGCCCGGAGCCATGCGGATTCCTTGTCCCCTGTCCCCGCTGCAGATGAGGTCGGGGGAGATGGCTGCCAACATCGCGAGGGAGCTGGCGGAGCACACGCGGAGCCACCTGTACGCCGGGGACATCACCTACTCCGTGGCGGCCATGGTGCAGCTGGTGAACCTGCTGGACGTGCAGCTCCGCAACCTGACGCCCGGCGGGAAGGACAGCGCCGCGCGCAGCTTGAATAAGGTGAGCAGGACGGGGCCCGGGAAGACACAGCCCGGAGAGGGAGTGCCTGGCTCTGGAGAGGCCTTGGAAATCTCTCACTGAGCAGAGCGGTTTGGGGCTGCAGTTCTTTCCAGGCAGCCAGGAGGTTTTGCTTGGTGCTTTCTCATTTGCAGAGTATTGTTTTTTTCCTCTGGTGAGAAAGGCAACGGTTGTGAACACCAAAAGCCCTGGCGGTGCTGGGAAGCGCGTCCTCCTCCATGGGCAGAGAGGTGAAACGCAGGTGCTTCACCCTGGTCTCAGCTCTCGTGCCCCGGGACAGCACCCGTCGTAGCGATGCCACAGCAAGTAATATGAATAAATCCATGCCCGCATAGCTGAGAGCAGCAGCTTGTCCAGTGCTGAATCCATCTGTGAAGTGACATACAATGCAGGCCAGGCAAGCTGAATATTTAAAGTCCGCAGCAGATGGATAGAGCTTGCATTTTGGATTTTTTTTTTTTTTTTTTTTTTGTCTCGTGCCATTACAAGATGCTGGATGTGAAGGTCAAATGGGCACTTTCATGCATGCATGTGAACAAATAAAAACAGACAGAAACATTTATTTACACTTGAGATGCATTTGCTGAAGGTGCATCCGATGCCAGTACGTTTGCATTTAGAGCATTTAAGATGGCTTCGTATTGGAGAGCTTGCTAAAGGATTAAGTGCGACTCTGCCCCCAAGCACCTTATCATGCGATGACCATGTTGTTTCTGTGCCCTCTGGATGAGAAGAATTGTTAGTCCTGTTATCATTTTCAGAATTAAGTGGATTTTTTTTTTGCATTTTAAAGATGCCAGAAGTTGTGAAGGAAGTAGAGCTGTGGCATTGACAAGAGTATGCTCAAAGTTGAGGGTTTCCTCCTGTCCAAGGCCCTCCGTAGCCCTGAATCTCAAGTAAACACATGGATTCCATGAAATGGGATTCACGTGGGGAATTTTGTGGTCCTGGTCATTGGAGGAAAGCAGGAGTGAGCTCTGTGGCTACAAGCCCAGGCCTATACTGGCCACTCTGCTCAAAGAAGGAACCAGGTTTTGTTCTCAGCCGCCCAGCTGGCTCCCACAGCCCTGGTGCCCATGCAAGTGAGAAGGGAGCCTGGTCCCAAGGTTGTGTAAGGAAAAAATGATCCCAGCGACGCCTTCTGGAAACAAATGTTTTTCAGGGAAGTAACACTGCCGTTTTGTTGTAAGTTATCACTGTAGATTTATTCTGTTTTAAAAGCAAAGGGCTTCTGGATTGTTGAATATTGCAGCCGCATGGGAACCGAAGTCCTGCATACCCTGCGCTTTGCATGTGCTGCCAGCTGGGTCATCATGATGCTTTTAATTAGTGCTGCTTCCAGCTACTCTGTAACAGCGTAGGTAGCAGTTGTATTAACTGTCACATCGGCATAACATTCTTCGTTGCAATCAAACCACGGTTCCTCGTTGCGAGGCGATGGCAGCGTCAGGTAAAATGGGCAATTAATGTCCCCTACTAACCGGTTACATGATCGCAGCCCCGTGCTCTTCCCGACCTTCCCAAGGTGCCCCCGAGGCCGTGTCACTTCTGCTTGGCAGAGCAGGGCCCGTCCCCATCGTGCCCAGCGTTCCCTCTGCCGCCGGCACCGCACAGCAGGCTCCTCTGGATCAATTCCCCGCATGAAAACCCGGGATCGCGCGGAGCCCTGCAGAACCGCGTTGCGAGCCGGTGATCCAAGTGCCGGGCTCGGTGACTTGCTCGCTCTCGTCGCCCACTTAATTCCTCGCAAGAGCAACTGCTCCCCGCTCCTACCGGAGCGCGCGAATCCCGCCTGGAAGTGGGGCTGGGCAAGCAAAAGGCCGCATTTTCCCCTTGGCTGGTCAAGGGTATTTTCAGGAAAGGAAGGAAAAAAAAATAAAAAAAGAAGTTATTTGCAAAGAGTTTTGCTTAGTGCTGTTTAATCCACAAGAAGAACTGCAGCAAGCACTGGCCATTAAATACTTCTTTAATCATTAAAGGAAATGCACTGAGGATTTGCCTTAATTCTCCATCTGAAAGTAGTTGCCTGTGCTGTTTTGCGAGTTTTTATTTTCCTTTTTTTACAAGCTGTTGTAGGATGAATAGAAATAAACTGGCATAATCAGAGTTTTTTTTTAAAATCCCTCCTCTTTACAGCAGCCACTTTGCTGTCACCAAAAGCTTTACGCTTTCCACTGGATCCTGCTTAATTAAGGTACTAATTGTTCCTTAGCAGCCTGGCGAGACCCCTGAGCGGATATCTCCGTAATTTCCAGCAAAGCTTTCTTTGATCTCCATTTTCTCCTGTAAAGTCTTCTTACTGGCCAAATTTACCCACAGGGTGGTTTCTACTGTTGCAAATGCATGAATTAAAACTTGAATTAGGCATCGCATTATGCCCGGGTCTGTTTGGGTTGCTGCAGCTCGTCGAGGCTCCTGAGGCAGGTTCCTGGGCAGGTTGCCCCAGGTCGTGTCCAGCTTTTGCGTATCCCCAAGGTTGGAGACCCTGCAGCTTCCCTGGACAATCAGGTCCTTACCCAGGAAAGCACAACTCGGAGTGAGAGAGGGCTGGAAAACAGCCCCACGAGCAGTGAGGTTGCAGCGCTGGGGACCAGCTCGATGTGTTCGTGCAGGTGGGTCTGTGCTCCATCGCAGACGCCGCATCCCGCTCCTCGGAAGGGGTCCTGCTCGTCCAAGGCTGAGCCCACACTGCCCTGGTGTAGCTAAGGATAAGCCCCATCCTTTCCAGCCTCGCCTGGCATGGAGATGACAGGAGTGGTAGCGGAGCTGTGGGGAGACGCAGCCTCCTGATCACTGTCACTCAGTTTCCATGGCTCCAACCATGTAACAACTGCTCTTGCAAAGTTCCCAGTCTTCACTTAACTGAAAAAAAAGGACTAACCTGAATTTCAGCAGCCAGCCCTTCCACTACTGCCTAACCCGCATGCTCCCTTCAATTTACTTTGTTTCCAGGAGCTGTTTAAAAAGAGAAATGAGTTTTTTGTAGGTGTTTTCTTCAATTTTTCTTTTTTTTTTTCTCCTTGTTCTGTCACTAACTTGTTTTTTCTATCCCGTCTTTAATCTGCTGTCTTTGTGGACTCAGCTTCAGAAAAGGGAGCGCTCTTGCAGGGCCTATGTCCAGGTATTTCTTGCCTTTTTACTGCTGTCACGTTGTTGGGCTGAGTGTCTGGGTGAAGTGGGGCTTGTCTCCGTGTGCCTGGGTTTTGTTGTCCCTACGGCAGCAAGGGCTAAAGTGAGGGTGACAGGACAGCATGAGAACTTCGTTACTCGCCACCACCAGCCCAGTCCTGCCCAGACCTGAAAAAAATCAGGCAACCCAAGGAAAAACCCAAGGAGAGTTGTACCAAGATCCATTTGTCCCCCGGAATAAGCAAGACAGCGCACATGTGCAGTTGAAGAACGCAAAACTATTTGCAGTGTCATTGCTGTCATGGAGGAATAACTGCTGCGTGCATTTTCCTTGCTTTTCCTTCTTTTCCTCTTACACTTGAAAATGCGGGAAAGCTTCCGAGCGGCAGCGCTTGGCGTGCGGGATCCTAATGAAACGCAGCACGGCCTCGCAGAAGGATGTAGGGAGGAGGAGCGTGCTGCAAGCTAAATTTAAATTGGAGAACACAACCTTCCATAAAGCTCCCCCAGCTGCAGCCTGCTTCTGGCAGACGTGTGCCCTGGTTTTGGTGAACCAGACAGCCCCACCAGAGGATCCCTTAGATTTGGAGAGACCTGCTTCTGGTGGGGCCTTGGACTGCCCTTGTGTGTGTCCTGTCACCTTGCTTTGTAGCACCTGCTGCAGCGCCTTCGTGTGAAGTTGTGTGTGTGATGCGGGTGAGTTAACGTTGCTCTAAGCAGCGTGAATGTTTTGCTCCTAATTTCTGTGCCGTTAGTGTGCAGACTTTGGAGTTGTGCGTGCGGGTGGTATTTATAAGTGTTTGACACACCAAGGTGCCAATGTGAACCCTGCATTTCTGCAGAGGGGATCTGGATGCGCTCTGAATTTCTCTTCACCCCTTGCTACAGCCTGTACCACCTTCATTTGGGGAGCGTCCTCCTCCTTCAGCACGTGGGGCTGGAGGGCTGAGATTTCCCCCTGCAAACAGTATTGCACCACCCTGGCCTTTCTGTCTTCTTTCAAGCCTTAATGAACAGTGAATTTAATCCACTCTTTGGAAAGCTTGGAATTTATGAAGGAAAGCCTCACTTCTTCAAGTCTACTTGTGTGTTTAAACATTAATCATGCCCCTACCTCTTCAGCGGGCAAAAGCTGATGAAAGTTTATTGCCTGAGTCGTTTAGGCTAAATATTGGCAAAGCTGCTAAAAGAGGACAGTCCCGACGCGGAGGAATTGAAGAATGAAGTAGATGACCTAGGTGAACCTTTCAGGCTCAGCTTCGTATTATCTGCAGCTAAAATAATGCACCCAGGCGTTTTTTCATGCAGTATGTTTCCATCTGGGAAGGTGTGTAGCTGAAGTCATCAAAAAACCTTATGGGGGAAGAGTATCTGTAATAGCAATTAAACGTGAGTGCAGATATTCCCATTACGGGCACTTACCCTTTACACACAGGGAAGTGTTTTGTCTGGCTGAGGCAACTGAGCAGCTTTTGTGGCGATCTTAGATGGTGAATCCCGGATCTTGTGAAGTCCATGGGAGATGGGAACTCCCTGGGAAGCATGCCATGAGATGTCCAGTGACTGCAAAAATCAGAAACGCAATCAAAAACAGGTAGATTTGGGAAGGTAACGATTGCTAATATCAATATGAGCCATTTCCTTGGGCTGACACACATAAAATAAGTCATGAGACAGCCCCCATGAGAATTGAGATATAAAGTCCTCTTGAGCACAAACCAAATGAATAAAATAAACAGTGAGTAAAGCTGAACTGGAAATTCTGTAATGTATTCAGATGTGAGACTATGGGGAAGCAGCATCAGATTATCATCTTGTCTCTCTGGGCGATTCCATAATTAAAACAAATATTGATTTAATTTGTCTGTAAAATGTCATAACGTTTGTTGAGTTAAAAGCTCAGGGATTTTATTTACTGGAGATAGAGATTACGGATGCTCTTACTTTAGTCGTGCATGTAGTAAAATCTCTCTTTCTCTGTCAAAAGCCCAGCAAAAAAGCAACCGAAGAGTGACATGATAAACTCATAATAATAAAGTGATGACTAGACAGCTGCCTGGGGATGGGTAAATCATGGTGATATTTAAGCAATATCAGTTAATTCAGGACACTCCAGGTTGATGGTGGGTGGTTTCTTCTGTGGAGAGATGATGACAGCCTCGTTGGTCAAATATGGCCATGTTGGTCTTAGCGCTTTTGCCTATGATGTGGGATGTCCAGTCTCTTAGCAAACCACAGTATCCTCCACCAAGCTTCATTCATTCCCGCTGAATCCCACATGTGAGTGTTTTTTGGGAATGTGTTTAGGGGAGCAGCTGCACAGAGCGCCCAAGTCTTGTGCAAGTGTCAGGCAAGAAGGAGGGCCCGGGTAGGCCGGGGTGAGTCCTCCCAGCGCTGACCCTCTGACAGAGCAAACAGATCCAGTGAGCTGGTTTGGGTCTCTCAGAGACATGATTTGTCCCCTAAGGCAGGCATCTGAGATGATAGATGGAGTGTGCCATGGAAAGGTGCTGTGTGCCGTGGCTGAGGAAGGAGAGCTTGGAGCAGGGACGTGACATTTTGGTGACTAAAGATAGCTGAAGCGGCTCCCGCTGGGGCTGCCTCCTCCCGTCACCCTCCTGCCCACCTTTGGATAAGGCCCTGTTCCTGGCACGCCGTTCCCGGGGGTGGAATGAAGAAGCCATGGTGTGGAGGGTGAGTCATGGTGGGTGACGTGTCCCCGCACGCGGCCGCGCGTGGGGGCTCGTCAGCGCTGCCAGCAGGCGGGAGCTCCCTACCGTGTCGTCAGAATTGGTATTTGCACGTTTCCCCCAAGTGTCTCGCCTTAAAACAAAGCACAGGAGGTGCAAAAAACGTAAGTGTTGATCTCTGGGGAGCTATGAGGCAGGTTTTGATGTCACAGATTTCCTCCGTACCCTGCAGCAAGTGAGGTCTGCTCGCTATCACACAGCGGCCCAGCTGTCTAGTGCTGTGGGTGCAGTTCCCTGGCCTCCAGGAACAGAGGTAGGGTAGTAAGGGAAAAGAAAAAATCTCAATATTCAGATATTGTAGTGAAGGACATCGTATGAACATGGAAAACTTAAGCCTGTTGCTTCAAAGCTGGAGGACCGTGAACGCAGTAGCTGAAGTGAGTGGCTCTTTTGTTGAGGAGGAGGCAGCAGCCCGTGGCTTTTGCAGCAGCGCTTGGGTCTGGTGGCATTAGCGGCTGTGTTTCCCACAGCCTCAGGGCCGTTCTGCGCGCCGCATGTTCTGCACAGGGGATGGGGAAGGTGAGGGAGTCACTGCTGCCCCCATGAATCACCAGTGCTCTGGCACCCTCACTGTTAAGAAATATTTCCTTAAGTTTCTGTGGAACTTTTGGTGCTTCAGTTTCTGGCCATTACCTCTAGTTCTGTCGGTGGCCACCAGTGAAAAGAGGCCAGCACCATCCTCCTCACTGCCTCCCTTGAGGTACTTCTAGGCACTGCTCAGGTCCCCTCTCAGCCTTCTCTTCTCCAGGCTGAACAGGCCCAGCTCCCTCAGCCTCTCCTCATAGGGCAGATGTTCCAGGCCCCTGATCATCCTTGTGGCCCTGTGACTCTCTCCAGCAGCTCCACATCCCTCTTGTACTGTGGAGCCCAAAACTGGACACAATACTCCAGATGCAGCCTCACCAGGGCTGAGTAGAGGGGTAGGACCACCTCCCTCGACCTCTTCATTTTCTCCTTTCGTTGCACACCCAGCAGCTCCCAGCAGATGCGAAGTGCATCTGGGACGTGGCAGGACTCCCTGAGGTGGCTCCGGGGGAGGCCGCAAGGAAAGCGCCCCGCGTTTGCCCACGTCGCTGTCACGTCAGCGCCAAGGCAGCCCCCAGCCCCCGTTTCTGCAGAAAGCAGGGCAGGTTAACTAGGGCGTTTGAGCTCCTCGTTGGGCCACCTCATGGGGCACTTTGCATGCGGCTCTGGGATCCGTTCTTGAACGCAGCCTGCTTTGTGCCGCCGGGATGTTCGCCCCAAGCTCGCGTTTAATGTCATTAAAAGGACGTCGGCAAAGAAGCGCGACTCGGGCAGGGCGGCAGCGTCGTTAAAGCTCTGTGAACTTAATGTATTTCCCAGTGTGCGGGACCCGCGTTTGGTTTGTGTTGGCGAGAGGACACGAGTATGAATGCCCTGCCTCGCCGACGTGGGCTTTGTCGCAGGCGTCAAAAACGCCGCACGTAAATATTCACGTGCAGGGCTAGATGTTCCTCTGCCCAGAACTGAGCTGTGTGCGTGCTAAGATTCCCACCTGTAACGTGGCAAAACTGAAAAAAAAGTGCAGCATTTTCCAGAGGGAAAAGTCTTCATATAGACAGCTATAGGGGTCAGGGGAAGCGTCACTTGGATGGGGGCAGTAGGAAGAGAGGATGGATGTCATGGACTCCCCGGGAGTTCCCGTAAAGGCTGCTGGTTCTTCTGTCAAATAAATGCTCGCTGTCTGCAAGCCCTTTTCCTCTCCGCAGCCTCGCTCCTGGCCCCACTGTAATTATTCTGGCTGTTGCTTGTATAGTCTCAGATCCCAAACAGTAGGACAGCAAATGCAAGATGATTCATAAATGCAGTTCTCATCTTATTCAGCAGGGAGGATCTCATTAGATGAAAAGGATCGTCTGTTATTTCCTTCTTCCCAATCAATTCCTTTTATTTCAGCCCTATGGATGCCTTCTGACCTTAAAATATTCTTCCTGGTAGACTAAGCGAAGCAAAACCGTAACCCGTAATTTGTAACCTTCTTTTATTTCTCCTGTTTGTGTGTGTGTGTGTGTACTCCATTGGGAGATTATTGGTAGTTCAAAGCCAAGATTGCAAGCCTTGCATGCCTCATGCTAGATCATTATTTCCCCCGTTAAGCATTTTGTGGATGGCCTAATTTTAATAAAGGTCAATGCCTTTACTCCTGTTGCAGTGCGTTCCCAGGCCATTTACGCAGTGACGCCAACCATTCCTGTGCAGAAGACTAGCAGGAGACACCTGAATGACTTATTTATTTTAAAGTGTGCTTTGCCTTTCCCACGAATCCATTCTGAGGGCATCCTGCTGCATTTCAGGGAGTCTGAGTATGATGATGGCCTCGTTGCTTTGGAAGAAGCCTTGGAGACTGCCTGGGCTTCCCGGTGAGAGGCTGTGTCCCGTGTGCTGCCTTGTGTTTGGAGCACAGACACCTCTTAATTTGGATTGAACAGAGAAAGCTGTGAAGTCCCATGTAGCAGCAGAGCTTGACCTGTGATCCCTGCATATGGGGCACAGAGTCCTGTACATTTCCTACCCAAAAAGAAGCCAAGGATGTCCCAAACTGGTCCCTTACTATGCAGTAGGATGGGGTCTCCCAGCGTGCCTGCATCCATGGCATCCCTTGGATCAGCAGGTTCGTTTGGGCTGCACCAATATATTCACAGTTAATGTGAGTTTCTCCTGTAATGGGGCTTTTCTTTCACGGCTAGAGGCAGCAAGAGCACAACTTGCAGCTGAACTCGCCCTCAAAGACATTGATTGTGTCTTTAACTCAATTAGTTCGGAGTCTCGCGAATAATGACAACCCTTAAGGAAAGGGTTTGTTTTAGCACGGAGTGTTTCATATGAATACAGAGAAAAATAAGCTGTCCTTGAGCAAGGAAGCAGGCAGGCTCTTAAAAAAAAAATCACTTTCCAATAGGAAAAAGGGAATAATGCTGTGATTCTTAAACCACATCCACATTTTAGAGCAAGCCCCTCCATAGGGTTTTCCATTTTCATTGCCCACTGCGGACCTGAAAGGGCTTTTGTGTATTTTTTTTCCCTGCACTGACTTGCAGCAAAACCTCAAGCCACCGTTAACAAGCGGACTAATAATGTCTGTGCACGCCGTGCTCTGTGATGATGATGATGATGGTGATGATGCCCTCACTCGGGAGCAGCACCCGCAGGCCTGAAAACGGAAAGTTTGAGCATAGCTCGAACCGTAGGGCCCGGGAACCAGGATTTTCTCAAGCACCCTTGGAAATGTCCTGCCATTCCACGGGCTGTTGTGTTGGTGCATCGCCTGTCTGCTCCACGAGGGGCTAACGAACAGGACGGGTGTCCCGGTTTTCTAAGCTTCTGTCTGCAAGCAGCGCAGCCCGTTCCCAAACTCTGCCGGGGGAGCCTTGGGATGAACAGGTTCTGGTGTTTTCTAGCGCCAATTCCCAGTTAAAAACGGATTGTGCATTGCAAAAAGCAGCTTTTGTCCAAGCGCCTTGGGGGCTGGCACAAAGATAGACAACGAGATGCATGTGATACCAATGAATATGTACATACACACACTAGGCTGAGGCTCTGTGTGACTTAGGCAGACACTCTCACCGGGCATTTCTAGAAGGGGTATAAAGATAAAAAGTAATGAACAAGCAAAACTCACTTTGCCAAACGAAGCAGCTGTCACAAAGGAAATCAATGCGATATGTAGGATCAGCCTTTTAGTAATGTATAATTACTGTAAGACACCTAATTAGTTGCCTTTTGACAATACATGTTTTAATACCAATTTGTAAGTGTCTGAAAAGGAAGTTTTACATTTTGTTACTGTTTTGTAACCTCAGGACATAACTGAGAAACCGTGAGCATCTGCCCTTGTTTGGGAAGATTCTTCCTCTGCAAGTTAATGGCTTTCATGTATTTACACTGCGTTTCCACTCTTTGGTATTGCATAATTGCATGATGAAGAAGATGCACCATGCAGGGATTTATCTTCCATGCTTGTTCTTGCTCTTCTCTTGGTGTCCCGTTAGAGCCTCTGTTGCAAATAGACTCCTGGGCTCAGCCTAAACGCAGAGGCAGAGGCCGGTCCTTGTCCTGCATGCCGGCATTCCCACATTTCAAGCCCTCCCGCCCCACTTTTCCCAGTTGGGATCCCTCTCTCCAGAGGCTGTGTTGCTTTAACAGCTGTTTTGTTTCACTTAAACACCTACCTCAGCTCCTGTCCAAAATGCAAACATTTCATTAGCACCTCATCTCCTTGGCTTCAGCCCGCAGCACTCAGCCCTAATGAAGTGCCGGGCTCGGAAACATAATGCGGGGGGACACTTGATTAATGCACCCAGGCAGGTGAGGGGAGCGACCCTCGGGGAGCACCAAGGGGCTAAATGCACCTCTGATGCAATGCCAGCGAAGACACCCGCACCCGCTTCGCTCAGCCCCACTCCCAGCGTCTGACCCGGAGCCCTGGGGAAGCTTTCTGCAGAGTTTGCATCAAAGCCCCGCTTCCAAAGCGGCTGCCTGCAGGTTTTCCGCTTCCAGAGGGTGCCAACGCCAAGCAGCATCCGTCCAATCAGGAATACGTGTGCTGCGGCGGGAGGCGAGGAGGGCCGAACGGATGTTCCTCCTCAAGCATTGCATGCACACATGTGCGCACACACGTTGTTAAAAAAAAGATAAATAAATAAAATACGCGTAAGAAAATAATTTTTTTCTGGAAAAAAAGAATCTTTGCAGCAGATGTTTCGCCCTAACACAAATAGTTTGGCATCTGTTTCATGTTTAGACAAACACGCGTTACCTTTCCATCTGAGGCCGGGAGCTAGATCTGATACAAAAAGTGACTCCTTGCACCATTCAAGCACTAAGAAAAGTATTCAGCGTGTTGCTTTAGCAAAGATTTAAAGACCCCATTAGTAGCTGAGCTGAGTGAACGGAATGCAAATTGTGTTCTGCATTGAAAGGGGAGAAGAAACATCCTTATTTTCTGCTTTCCATGAATATAAGGTCTTTTTAAGAAAACACTGTGCGTAGGATATGTATGGTGAAATAGTCCTTTTTGATCACCTGAAAAGAATAATACTTCCTTTCCAGTCTATAAAGAGATAAGCTACCAAAGTAAACTACAGAAATGCATTAAGAGCTAGAGAGGTTTTTTAAAAAACAACCATATTTAAATGCTATGGATTTTTAATATTTCTTTCTCACCGTTAAAGGTAACCAGTTTATTTTAGGTGCATGTGCCAAATGTGCTAAGATTTTTTTTTCCTACTCTTTAGGAAAATCAGTTTGATGATCAGTTTAAGCAATTGATTTATGGTTAATACAGCAAGGGAGAAAGGGATTCCAGCTCTGGGTTGCAAAGGCTTGACAGCAAGAAGATTTTTACTGCCTGATACCACCAAAAGCAGCTCCCGGCCTGCGGCAAAGCTGGTCCCGTGGGATTCGGTTGGCGTTTTGCCGTTGGTGGCGGTGCTGTGTTAGCCTGGCGCTGGCAGTAACGCTCATGGGCAGTCCCGGCAGATTCCAGGGTTTCAGTTTGCTGCAGTGGTTGGAAACATTGGCTGCCCCCCCTGCTTCAGGTAACCAAGCCGTGAGGCTCAGGAGAAACCTCCTCCATTAATCAGGGGGTTGAGGAGTAGCTGCCAGAGAGGGGGAAGAGCTGCTTAAGGCAAAGGAGAGGTTTGGCACGGAAACAAATGAGTTAATTGGCCATGAATAAATTTGGGTTGGAGAGGAGGAAGTTTTTACTGTAAAAGGAGCCTGATTCTGGCTCAGCCTTCCAATAGGAGGGGGGTGGTATGAAAAACCTTCCAACCTAGAGGACTTGTCGGGGTAAAAAGTCTTTGGCACATGAAGAGAGTTCTCACTGTGATTGCATACAAGAGCAAGGAGCTGTGATTGATGGCCAAGGTCTGGTGTTAACCCTTGCACCCGTGTGTGTGGCTTGGGGTAAGGAGAACCTCTCAGATGTTCCCTTCCTACCTGTGTTAAGCGACAGATGACATTGAAGTGTGCTGAACTTCCTCCGGGGATACCGCTGCAGGGGGTAACGTCTCAGTGAAACGTTGCTCTGGGATTCAAAGCTCCTGGCTCTTCCACGCACACTGGCAGCTCTTTGCTCCTCCTTGGACTTCACTGTAAGCAAAACTTCTTGAAGGTGGCTTGGAGATAGTAATAGCAAACTCCGAGGGAGTTTCCCAAAGGGAAACCTCGTTCCTTCAGGCAGCGCTAACTGGCAGTGGAGGTGCTCCTTTGTGAGGCACACCTGCTTGATAACTACTAAATAAAGCTGTGGAAACACTAGCTAGCAGAAGAAAGTGCTGTCAGAGTGTCCCGTTTTCTTCTGCGTGATCCATTTGAGCAACCGGCGTGCCTGGTTTCAATAAAAAACAATATTAGTTTCAAGTAGTTGAGCCAGCTGGGGTTAGTAACAAGGCAGGGACGTTGGGTCAAGCAAAAACCTCAGGTTGGGTAGGGCAAGTGAGGAAATTTATAGAGCGTGAGGCTGGCGCAGTTCCATGCAATCCCGATGTGCATCCCCATTAATCCGTGGAAAGTCGCGCATGGGAGAGCTCTTTGTCCTTGGCGGCCTGGAGCACGAGGTGCCCGGTGGGAAGCATTGGAGTTGTTGCCTTCCTCACGGGAGCGAATGGAAGTGGTGCCGTGTCTCAAGCTCTAAAGGCCCCTGCTGGTGTTGTGGGTGAAGGAAGAGCCGAGGAAGTGAAACTCTGTGTCCTCACAAGAGCCTGACAGAGGTCATGTGGTGGGAAACGTTCTCTGGAGAGGGTGGCCCCTGCAGACGTTGGGCATTAGATACCTTTCTCGGGTACCCCAGCCTGACCACTGAATTTTGGTATTGCACGTGAGTCACAAATGGGATTTGAAATCTGTTTGAATCTGAAATCTGTTGCCTCAGCGACTTCCCCATCTCCTTCCTTCCCTAACTCTTGCTCCTTCTTACTCCGAACCCGGAGCCACAAATCCCAGGCTCGTTTGAACACAAACCCAAGGTTTTCCTCTCTCTCATGCAGTGCGATGAATGACGAGCTCGGTTGCAAGCTGCCACGGCGGGTGGGTGGGGAGGTTGCGCCTTGTTCGCACAAACTGCTGGGCATGGAGGAGGGGATCGAGCGTGCGCCTGGGTCTTGGTGGTGCTCCCAGGCCCATGCGAGTGCTTCCTGACTTGGTCCTGCTGCTTTGCAGGCCATGGTGGAGACGGTGAATAACCTCCTGCAGCCTCAGGCCCTCAGCGCGTGGCGGGACCTGACCACCAGCGAGCAGCAGCGGGCGGCCACCAAGCTGCTGGACACCGTGGAGGACAGTGCCTTCGTGCTGGCCGATAACCTGCTGAAGACGGACATCGTCCGCGAGAACACCGACAACATCCGTAAGTGCCCATATAGGGGAGCAAGGGTTGGGAAACTCGGCGAAAATCTTGGCCCCGAGATCAATTAGAGAGCAACCAGAGAGATCCACCTCGGGCTTTGATTGGACATACTTAGCATAAGCCTCTCCAGAAGAGTTTGCAGGCCTAAGACATCTGCCCGTGGAAAGTGAGCACCTCCGTTGCTGCTTCTCACTTTGCATGTGAAGTCTGCGCAAGAGAGAAGTCTGCGCTGAAGTCTTCGGGGAGCTGGCTCCTCGTTGTAATACGGTTGTGTTGCGTTTCGTACCGGTCTGTGTCTTCCTTTAGCTGATTGTTGACTTTAATTAAAAAAAACAAGCACAAAGAAAATCACCAGCGCTCCCACCGCGCGTATGTAGAATGAGAGCAAGGCTGGTTTCCACGTGTATGAGTTCAGGTCCCCAGCACTTGATAACATTTACAGAAAGTACTGATCGCCAATGGCAAAGAACTGGCGGTTTTGGATTTTCATTTTAGATGTTACCCGTAATATCCTGAGGTTCTTTTTTTGCAAGAACTGCTTGTCTTTTGTCTTCCATGGAGAGCAGAATTTATTTCCTTTTTTTAAATTAAATTTTAAACTTCTGCAGGGCAAAGATTTAAACAGGAATAGGAGTCCAAAGCGAGTCTGGTGTGCAACACTGCAAGTTGACTTCTCCGTTTTTGGGCGGCCTGGAAAACTCGTTTTGTATCGTTGACGCTTTATGCTGGGGATTATTTCAGCAGTGCTTTTTCTGAATGCTGATGTCTCTTGCAAACAGAGCTGGAAGTCGCAAGACTTAGCACGGATGGGAACCTCGAGGATCTGAAATTCCCCCAGAACCTGGGCCACGGGAGCGCCATTCAGCTGTCGGCAAACACCTTGAAGCAAAACGGTCGCAACGGTACGTCCAGGCCCTCCAGCCTCACTGGCCTTGGCCGTCGGCCGCGCTTTCAGCACCGTTTCTGAGCAGTTTGCAAACCTCTGTGCTTTGTTTAACCAGTTGCAGGTATTGTGTTACTCAATGTGTTAATATTTTAAGGTTAATAATGCCAGTCGCCCATGCCCTCGACTCCAGACCAAGTTGACTGACGAGGAATTTATTACGTTGCCAAGTGACTGAGCCTCCGAAAGCATGAAGTGTGGGTAAAAATGTGTCAGGTCCTTAAATGATGTGGCTGCTAAGACCCGGTGCTGAGTCCAGAGAGGTGCTTTTAAATGCTCTCATCTATAGTAGGAAGCCTCACATGGGATAAGAGGCTTGTGTGAATAAACTGTTTCACAGTGGGGCACTATGCAAATACCTGAAAAGCGAGAAGGACGAAACAACAATAGCAAATATTAATAATGAGCCAACCTGGCAGCCAAGGTTGATTAACCATTGGGGATCTCAGTCTTCAGTGTCTTTCCCTCTGAAGCTTATGACAAAATATAAATTAAAGATGGCATTTTATGTGAGCGGTCTTTAAGCTGCCAAGTCTTTTATTTCCACAGCAGCAATTTGAGCAGAGGTGTTTGTTCATCTCTGCAGCTCTGCTAAAAACCTACTTCAGACTGCCAGGGTTTGTACTAATAGGCCTGAAGTGCTCTTATTTATGGGTTGCTTTAAGGTGTGTGCTTCAGTCACGTACTTTTCTTTTGTGTAGAAAGCTACACATCACCGAGATGAGTAACAATACTTGGTTCGGACTAACATCTCACTCAGTTAATGGGTTCAGGGGATTTGTAGAGAAAAAGAAGTTGGGTTGGAGGCAAGGAAGGTAAAGTCCGAGCTTCTAAGCATGATATCAGCAGAGTTTTGGTCACATCAGGAGAGTCACAGCTACTTACACCGGCCTAGCACCCACCTGGAGGTCACCAGAGAGGGCTGGAATCACAGAATCGCACAAAGATCTGTGAAGGACTTTTGAAGATCATCTAGTCCAACCCCCTCAGGGCTCTGCACACTCTTTGTGCATGAATTTTCCTTCTAAAGGATCCTCAGAGCTCCAGGTGTTTCCTCACAAAACACACAAACAAACTAATAAATATAAAGGCACACTAGTCATATTCTACTTTTATTGCCCATGCGATATTGTGCAAAGCCCTGGCCAGATGGATGGTTTACTTTATGAACCAGTTGACTAGCAGTGTGGGTTTTTTGCAGGAGCAGTAGGTTTCAGTAGAAAGAGAGGCTGTCTGATTGGCGAATCAATACGAGGTTTTCTCAGAAGAGCATCCAAGCTTGTTCAAAGAATATCAGCCAAAAAGTATTGTCTAAGCCAAATCAGAGTGGGCTGGTTTGGATCTCTAACCTCTCTCTGCTTTCCCAGGTGAGATCAGGGTGGCTTTTGTGCTGTACAACAACCTGGGGACCTATCTGTCCACGGAGAACGCCAGCATGAAGTTGGGAACAGAAGCTATGTCGACGAATCACTCCGTCATCGTCAACTCCCCTGTCATCACGGCAGCAATAAACAAGGAGTTCAGCAATAAGGTCTACCCGGCCGATCCCGTGGTGTTTACTGTGAAGCACATCAAGGTGAGCAAGCTCGAAAAGCAGGTTTTTCCCCCCTGAGTTTCAAAAGCAGAAGCAAAAGCGTGCTCATCTGAGGCCCCCAGCAGCCCTTGATGAGTTTTTGAATTACATGTTTGTTCCTTTGCACTTTGTGTTATTTATGGAGAAGGTCTATTTGCGATACATTAATAAAAGCGAGGAAGGGGTCTCCTCTGAACTGATGTCCATTGCTCAGTTGCTGACGTGCATCGTTCTGTAATTAAAAACTACCAATATATTAGAATGGACCATAATATTATTTTATCGCGATGGCAGGGGACATTAGAGGAAAGTGGAATTACAGTAGAAGACAGTTAGTCCTCCGGTTAGCCAAGCACAGTCACTGCAAAAGTTGATTGCTTAAAGCAATTAATTTCTCTGTTCTGCAATGCAAATGAAGGAGTCTGGTTCTGAAGAGCGGAATTTGCTCAGTGGCTGAAATTAATCAGGAACAAAGAACTAAGTTTTCATTAGCAAAGAGAGCACCCACAGTCTGACTTTCTCTGGTATCGACAAGTAATATTGGCATATAAACCATTGCTGGTTGTTCATGTAAAATTAAAGGGCAAGAGCTACAAAGTGCCTCTGGAAGAAAACTGAGCGCACTTAGAAATCTTTGAAATCCCATCATTTTTTATTGCATGTCTTCATTTCTTGCCCGCAGCAGTCAGAAGAAAACTTCAATCCCAACTGTTCCTTCTGGAGCTACACGAAGCGGACGATGACGGGGTACTGGTCCACCCAGGGATGCCGCCTGCTGACCACGAACAAGACGCACACCACGTGCTCCTGCAACCACCTCACCAATTTCGCCGTCCTCATGGCACACGTGGAAGTTAAGGTAGGCGCTGCGCATCCACAGGCTGCCAGCACCAAGAGGTGGTCGGTGTGACAGCTCGGCTGCGTTCCTGCAAAAGGGAGCTGAGCAGGGAAACGGCTCTGCCACAGCAGCTCCCGCAGGGGAAACTGCCTGGCCAAAATCTTCCTGGGGAAGGAGGAGGTGATCACACCCGTGCAAAGGCAGTGCAGCGCTCTGGGCAACTGCTGCAGGAGAGCATGAGAAATGAGCAGAATTGGCCCTTAATTACACATCCTTTACTGTTCGTTGCAGAGCATCTCCTTGCTGTGTCTTCGCTCTTCTTCCGGGTTGGCAGAAATTTCAGATCCACTTCCATAACCACATTGTTTTTTTTCCAAAGAGCTATTTAAAATAGTTTTCCAGTGTCACTCCTTTGTATATTTTTATTTCGCTTAATAATCAGAAGAGGAATGTAGAGAGCCACACTAAAATATATATCAAAGCACCATCATGCATGACCAAAGCTGTGCAAAAAAAAATAATAGAAATGAGAGCCTGGCAGCTCATTTGCCACAACAGCTGGGTCCAGCTGAGCGGGGCAGGGCAGACAGGCTGCTGCAGGATAAAGCATCCATTATATCCTGCAGGAGTTACTGCCCGCCCGGGAGACGTGCCGTTAAATGGCTCTGGCATTATCCTGGGAGTTGTCTGAAGAAATGGCCTATTCAGAGCACATGTTTACAGGTTAATGGCTTTCTGCAGCCTGAGACCCCTTTCCTTGACCGGTTCTTAGAATTGCTTTGAATCTTCAAAAGAAATGTGTGTGCTCGGCTGGTTATCACCTGCCTGGAGCGAACAGATCGCCCCGAGGCCCTCAAGGCAGAGGTTGCACCTGGAAATGGAGATAGTTTTCCACTCCAGCAATGGGAACAAGATGGGAACAAGGGCAACCTGTCCTGCGCGATGCAGAGAGGGGCTGGCGCCCAGCCGCCCTGTGTCCCCTGTGCAGAAGCAGTAAATCCCTGATTTCATCAGAGAAGAAGTACAGCTACCCGGTGTTACAGGAAGATTATTACAGTTGCACAGATATGCACATATCCATTAGATGCTCCTGATGACCTTAAATGCCTTAAAACCTTAGTGGCTCCCAGGCTGTGGGACAAAGGCCACAGCTAAATAAGCCATTCTACCTGGATAATTGCTACAGACTTACCTTCAACATTTACAAGCTGTTTTTTCATAGAGGCTTGCACTCTGCGTCGTAATAATTATAGCAACAGATGCGTCTTAAATGTACCAGGGGAAAAATAGGCAGCCAGAAAGCAAGTTCAGTGCCGGTGGAAAAATGCAATTAAAAAAGCCCACCCAAAACAGAAGGAGCAAGGTACCTTAGGGTAGATAAATGTTGCTTATCAGTGTGTAGAGAGTGCCAGACCTTACTCTTCTTTAAAAAAAGGAGAGAAAGGCAAAAAAAAAAAAGAGAGATGTTTTAAGCGTAACAATTAATCCGAAGCTTTCAGGTGTTATTCTATACCACACATGCACATTACATCATGCTAATTATTTGGGGAATGGAAGCGTAAGGCGAGCTGAGAAGAGAAAGGAATAAAAATATATGAAGTCTAAATGGAATGTAGTGGTCCGTTGCCTAAAGCAATACAGCCATTTCAGACGTGAAGCACAAGCAAAGCTTATTGCTGTGCTGGTTTACCCATATATTTGCACTTGTGGGATTGAACAGCAGTAAATGAAAGCAGAAGTGGGTGCAGGACTGCAAAAACATGCTAACTGCAGGCTTAAATTCTCGAAACTGCTATACCATAAATTTTGCAAAACAAAACATTTTGTTACCACCAGAAGAGTTAATTCTCCAGAAAAAAAAAAAAAAGCTTTAATTGAACAGGAAAGTTATTAAATCTGCATGTCTTCATTAAATTTTAAAAATCAAATACAAAATACAAAACTATTTGAGCCTGTGTCAGGAATAGCAATGTGGTACCTCTGTGGGCTCCAGGAATAAGGAGATATGAGAGACATGTTTAGCAGTCAGTTGCACGCCCTTGATGGTTTGTAGGAGGTACCTACAAAATAATGCTATTGCTTATCTACCCTCCCTTGGAGAACTTCCCAAACCTCGTTGCTTGTCAATCCAGCCTGCTCTCTGAATAACCCATCCCAAGTCACAGAAATTACTTATGGAAAACCTATTAGGTCAAGTTTTCTATGCCTGCAGGGTCAACACAGGGTGGTACCTGGCAGCGTATCCTGCGTTTTCGGTCCGGGGGGGCAGTAAATCACTGCAGAGAGTTTCCTGAGTCCCTACCCCTCGGTTTGACACCTGTTGGTTGGAGTTCATCTGGAATTTTGTCTTAGCATTTCTACTTTTATCCTGCCGGACTTCTCACGGGCAGTTTGCATCTTCCCCAGGGTTTTGGCCCGCATTCACTCAGATGACCAGCCTGAAGAAATGGCATCAAAAAAGACCTACTCCAAAGCCTGGAAGTTGCTGCCTGTTGAATTTAATTTGCTTAGCGCACTGCATTTTTACAGGTGCCAGAAATCCAAGCAGATGCCATTGCTTCCTTCATCCCCACAGCAGTGGATACGTATGTATTCATCATCATCCTCCCCAGCGCAGCGCGGAGAGCCGTGCATTGTGCCACCGTAAGGAACCGTGCTGCAGAGCAAAGATCTACCCCACAGGGTTTCTCGATGCTCTGTCCTGAAATACTCAGTTCAAGCTACTCCTCGGTGGCGAGCCCTATTCATTGCTCTCGCATTCCTCTTTCCTGAGGCCAGGGTTCAGGCTGAGTTCCTCTTTGATTAGATTTTAGCTTTGCCGAAGCACAGAATTCACCTCTAACTAACGTCCCTCTGCTTGGCTCAGGCCACTGAGGTGACAACGGACGATGCCACGGCCAGTTTTTTTCCGGGAATTTGGATGGACTAGCTGCACACCTTGGCACGATAGATATCCGCAGTCTGGCCGAGCTGCTGCAGCTCCCTTCTTGGGTTAGTGGCACCCATGTGCAAGCAGACACACGCTGCTTTCGTCAATGCCACCCACCCAGGAGGGCCGGGAAGACCTATTTGTTGGTTCCTATCTTGTCCCCCGCCACATCATGCAGCTGGGACTTGCCTCGCCGCCGGGAACTCAACGTCGTGTCAGCACGCAAGACAGGAACCTGGGCTTTTGCCACATACCGGCTGCTCTGGACACGGGGAGGTTCTGGGGAGGCTTCTGCATTTCTGGTGGGTCCTCGTGACCTTGCAGCAAGGCTGTGTTCAGGGAGAACTTGGTGGGATTGGGTTCTCTGGGAGGCTGTCTTCACGTTGCAGCAGAATGGGCTGCGTGGCCAGGGCAGAACGTGTGGGCGGCTCAGAGGGAAAAGCAGCTCAGCCGCTTTGCCCGATGACGAGCCCTGGTTTACGCTGTCACAGCCGGGAGGCGGCAGCGTTGCCAGCAGGCGCAAGGTGAGCTCGTGCGTAGCCATGAAGACACGTGGCCAGGCCGTAGCAGAAGGCCCCTCTCAGCAGCAGGGATGGCAAAAAAAGGGGCCAAGGGAAGCCACCTTGCCCCCAGCAAATCCAAGGAGCAGCCCAAGCCACGCACGGGAGTTTAGCGCTGTCCCACTTGGGTCCGTGCCCAAGCCAGCGCAGTGCCAGCTCCTGCTGGGCACTGAGCGGTCACATTTGAGTGAGTCGATGACACTCTGTTTTTATTTACTGCTTGTTATTCCTCTGCACACCCCCCCAGCCATATTACTGTTGCCTTTCCTAAAGGGAGAGATTAGCTGGAGGAATGTGTCCTTTGCTGCTGGCAGTGCTGCTTGGCTGCTGTTTTCTTCTACTGAAGTTTTTAATAAGGAAGGAAATGGCTGTTCATCTCAGGGAGAGTCATTCTGTCATAATCTGCCCTTCCCTGGGATTTGTTTTTATTAGCTCAGCTCTGGTGTGCAGGCGCTGCCAGAGCTGCTCATTGATTTCCAGTGCTTTTTCCAGCCCAGATAGCACCTCGGCTGCCTGCTCACCCCACCGTGGTTGCTACCAGAGCTCCTGTAACTCACACCACACAGGTTTCCATCAGCGAGCCGGGCTCGGTCTCACCAAAGCAAAGATGGGGATTTATACCAGAGCTGGGAAAGGTCAAGGAAGACTTTCAACGTGCTTGGGAGTCAGGTTCGTGCCCAAATCCCAAAGGGAAGACTTAGTATGGCAGCACGTTCGTCAAAGTTGGATCTACTATTTATTTCATTTTTTAAAAGGTTAGTCCAGCTTTCATTGCTTTCTCTCAAGTCTGTCCTGTTTCTTGGGGATGCAGAGAGACAAATCCATTGGTTTACATTTTGCACAGTTTGCTCAGTAAGTTTTTTCTGAGCTGAAAACAACCCGCGCAAAAGCTTCCATGCAAAGCTGGTGCAGATGCAGTGGTAGGAAAACTCAGTGCCTTGCCCAACCGTGGCAGTCTTTCACCACTCTTGAAGCTTGGCAAAGGAGGTATGAATTGCTTGCTTGCTGAGAAGTGGCTCCTTGAACATTGGAGGTCGAACTCCCTAATCTGCAAATGATGAGGTTATAGTAGCTTCAGTTCAAGAGTCTGCTGAGTCCTTAGCTCCCTGGGTACAGGACGTTTTGGCTCCAATTCCCTAATGTTGTCAAGACCATAAGTGACCTGCAGCATATACTAGACAAGAAGTGGTTATACTGGAATATTCCATGTCTCCTGATGCAGCTCATGGTCCCTGTGCTCAATGGAAGGGGAGATACCCACTCCTCAACTGTGCTTATCCTGTCAGGAAAGCAGGAGTCTACTGATACTGCCGGGAAATTTCCTCTTGTCCTGTCATCTGGTATCTCCCAAAGGCTATTCCAGCTATCCAGACATTTGGGGAGATTATTGAGAAGCACAAGTTGAGTGCTAGTTAAATGCTTGTGGTTTCAGATGTGTTTTGCATGCTATATGGACCTTGCAGGAAGCTGGAGGTGAGTTAGTTTGCCATAACCTACAGTAGACGCTGCCACAGGAAGGGTTCTAGTGCTTGCTTGCCCCTCGATGCTGAGGATATGCCGCAGCATCTGGAATTTGGAGGCACTTGCTCTGTCCTGAGGTATCCCAAGCAGGACAGAGCGCACCCAGCCTTTGAGATGTGGCTCATTTCTTCTCCTGGACTTTCAGAGGAAAGCTACGAAACCGTGTTTTTCCCCCCGAGGTGTCTTTTCACTCTTTATGGTTATTATTCCTACTTGTTTGCTCTTTTGCAAATTTGCCAGGGACGAGGGAGAGGCTGTAATTGCGGGTAGGTTGTTTTTATGATTGTTTTCCGGCACTCCAGGGATGGGTGTTATGTACATAAAATCAGTGCTCTCATTGTGATTAATATTAAGAACAACAGGAAGAGTGACAATCATAACAACAGCACAGCAGAGTCTGTGTTGTTTGTTGGCAGGGCTGGCCAAGCCTTTCAGGCAAAAGGTGCATGGGTTTGGGTATTGCTAGCCCTTCTTCTGGTCCTTTAAGTCAGCGTGGTGATGAATTTGCAAGAGGGGGACAGGAGCCGAGACCTGCAAACTCTGCCTCTGTCCCCTCAGACACATCGCGCTCACCACAGTAATAAAAGAGACTTTATTACTCGGTCATGGGGCGTATGAACTTGTGCCATTGGCCTCATACCGTCCACCCTTCCAGAGTCCTCCCAGGTGCTGCTCGCTTGCATCTGCCCTCGTTAGGTCGCCAAAGCTCCGCGTCCCGTCTGCAAGGTGCTCCCGTCTGATCCAGTGAGCTGCCCTCCAGGCAGGGAGACATCATCCTGCTGCTCTGCAGATGAAATAAAGAATAATTTGCAAGGACACGGGTTTGCGTTAACATTTTTTTACACTGAGTTAAGAGGGATGGATGAGCTAGCTTGACACCGCGATAAAGCAATATGCAGCCGCTAGGAAAGTGATGGGCACTTCATCTTCTTGGTTTTCTGGGTGCTGTGGGAGAGGCTGGGCGGAATGGGCATTTCCCTCCTGATCTGCAGGAAGGGACATGATGATTTCTAGCCTCTTTGTCATGCTTGCAGCTGTTCCCTCCCTAGCACAAATGCTCAACAAGAGCTGCAAGAGCATTTGGGGAAAGGAGCACGTGTCCTCTCCATCTCCTCCAGGACATCTCCCTGGGGAGAAAAGCACCAGGAGGAAAGAGATGAGGGGGAGCCGATCACCATTTTTCGTTATTATTTGATGCCTATCACTCATGCTGATAAAGCTAGAGTGCTGAAAGGTTTGAGCGCTTTCTCACGGGTGCTGACATAGCAGAGCATATATCAGGAGACGCCTGACATTCGATGTGGCTTTATCATTGGGAGGCAGGCAAAGAGAAGGGATCAATTAATCACCTTCTCCCAGCGTCTGGCGCGGGGTTTTATCCCGCAGGGAGGGCCGCGTTTCCTGTGTGTCCCGGCGTTCTGTGGAGCTGTGGGCTCGGCCAGCCTGCGCGATGCCCCAGTCATCGAATCACCAGCACGGAGGGGAGCACGGCTGATGCTCTCGACGCAGCTCCGTGCACCACAAAGCTGGGCCTTGTGGCGCTCAGGGCTGCTGGAAAAGGCCCTAGAGATTCCCAAGCCCTCTTTCCCGCAGCGTGTTGACTCTAAGCACTTAGCCCCGAGCCGCGCTCTTGTGGCTGACCATACATTTTGCATTTCTGTGTTTACATTTTACTAAGTAATGACGCCTCTAATTTCGCCACATGGAAACCTGTGGAACTGCCGCAGAGTTTCGCAGGTTGGGATAAGGTAGTGGAATACCTTCGGTGCAGGATTCTCAGCATCCCAGTTCTTTTTGGAGGGGGAAGTAAACACAACGCAAATGCAGAAATAACCCGGTGATGTTTTATCAGCAGAGCGTAGGCACACATAAGATTTGGTCCCCAGGTCGCCTAACTTTGCCATCGGCTTGTGTGCATGTTTTTTTTATGGAAAAGTCTGTGATACAAATTCACTGGAAGCACCCACTTTCCAGATCTTTTTTAAAATTGATGGTCTGCTACAGTTTAAAAGCAAATACACCTAGAAAGGTCTGGCTTTATTCCGGGAGTCTGGCAGTGTTCAACCCACCTTCCCAACAGTTTCAAAGTGTAGCCCCAAAGTTTGCAAAATTAAAATCAGGATTTGTTTTTCCTTCCCTCTTGGGGAAAAAAAAAGAAAAAAACCCCCAGAATCCAGGTGTTTTCAGCATCAACATCAATATGTCTGGGATTTCTAGGAGTCTGTTCTCAGCATCCACAGCCTGTTAGACGCTGATCAGTGGCTTTTTGGTCCTCTCTGCAGCACAGCGACGCGGTGCACGACCTGCTCTTGGACTTCATCACGTGGGTTGGCATCCTGCTGTCGCTCGTCTGCCTCCTGATCTGCATCTTCACCTTCTGCTTCTTCCGCGGGCTCCAGAGTGACCGCAACACGATCCACAAGAACCTGTGCATCAGCCTCTTTGTGGCAGAGCTCCTCTTCCTCATCGGCATCAACCGGACAGACCAGCCGGTAAGAGGCAACCTGCCTTCTGCTCTCCCTGCGTGCTCTTGCCCTGGTGGGTATTGGGGGTTTAAACCGTGAGATATTCCAGCAACGCTTTAGTTCCACCTTAATTCCTTGCGTGGTCATGTGTTGTGAGACAGTGGCTTTTATTACAGCACAGTTTGGAGTCGCTGGGAGTCACTGCGGTGACTTCGGTGGGCCCTGTTTCGAGTCCTTTCCCAACGTGTAGAAATGAAATTCCTTGTTCTTTCTTCTCAGTAGAGGCAAATGTTTTTGGAAAGGAAGCTGGCTTACTTTTTGCTTCATTTTGCAAAGGAGCTCAGCCTGAGCAAAGAGAGAATCAGAGTTTTGCTTCTGCTTTTCACTGAAACAGACCTGCTTGAGCCCTGTGTTATTTACTCACAGCTAAATATGCTGTGAGGATTTACGTAACTCTAAGAAGCTTCTTGTCATTCAGCTCTTAAAAAGACCAGAACATTTGTGCAGTACTTGTTCAATGTCTAGTGCAAAGCAAATTGAATGGCTTCTGCATGTTCCCAACCTTCCCTGCCATGGGAGGCCCTTGCGTGGTCCCCTTGCTCTTACAATGCTGCACTGTGAAGCTCCCAGCACGTGTCCAACACCCAAGGGTATCCACAAGGTGCATCAAAGCTCGGAAAGCTGCCCAGGCCCATAGAGTCAACGTCAAGGGCATCCCTGGCAGATGGGACACTTCCCCCATGACTCTCTCCTCATTAAATGCACCAGCTAGAGCACCTCTTCATGCCCTCATGACTCGTGTTGCCTCGGTCCACACAAACAGCCGCCCTTGCTCATTGCCTTCCGCTCGCAGATCGCCTGTGCCGTGTTCGCCGCCCTCCTGCACTTCTTCTTCCTGGCGGCCTTCACGTGGATGTTCCTGGAGGGGGTGCAGCTCTACATTATGCTGGTGGAGGTGTTCGAGAGCGAGCACTCGCGCAGGAAATACTTCTACTTGGTGGGCTACGGCATGCCGGCCCTCATCGTGGCCGTCTCGGCGGCAGTGGACTACCGGAGCTACGGCACAGACAAAGTGTGAGTAGGGAACGCCGGGATGTGGGGGAAGGCTGGGACATGGGCAAGCGTCTCTGTGGGCAGAGTCTTTCCTCCTCTGTCACCAAAGGACGCGAAGGAAAAGCTCCTGCTGGGCTCTTTGCTGGTGGAATTCACCAGTACAGGCTGGGGACTGACCTTCTGGAGAGCAGTTCCGCAGAGAAAGACCTGGGTGTCCTGGTGGACGACAGGTTGACCATGGGCAGCAGTGTGCCCTCGGGGTCAAGAAGGCCAATGGGAGCCTGGGGTGCGTTAAGAAGAGCATCTCCAGCAGGTTGAGGGAGGTGATCCTGCCCCTCTACTCAGCCCTGGTGAGGCCGCATCTGGAGTATTGTGTCCAGTTCTGGGC